AGAAAACACCAGAATAAATATTGCCTGTGGGCTGCCATTCACTTGTGACTTGTGGTCATGAGGTAAAATACATGATCACATCATGTATTCTGCCCAGAGTCTGTTTTCATTCGTGGTAGATGTCAGATGAACCGGGACTCTGCAGTTCTGAGATGGTGGCTGTTTGGTGGACAGTTTGGAGGCTGAGTAGTGAGCCTAGCAGACGAGGACAGGAAGGAAAAATCATGGTCACAGGCCTTTGAATTGAAATTGAAAATTGGATTTTGTTTCACCCGTTGTGAAATGTGCTTGGTGACTCAAAAAAAATTACATTCTTCCCAACTTCTGTCCATCTGGTCCCCATTTTCTGTGTCCAGTTTCAGTCACCCACGACTAATTTGTGGAAATACTGCCCACTGTACCTAGAGCAAAAGGGGCTGTGAGCTGTTCTCTGAGGAAGGAAGGTGCTAAGTACTCTGGAAATTTAGGTTCTAAGTTTCTTTAATAGAGTACCCAAAATACACTGACATGTTTGAAAATACTGCCTTTTATCTTTGTCTCTCAGCAGGGAGCTGTGAAGATAAGTGCCTTGATGTTTGTAAAAAATCCCCCAGCCCTCCAATACTACAATTAGAGCATCACCATAGAAAAGCCCATGAGGAAATTAATCATTCTGTATGCAATGCAAGATCTGGATGCTCTGCAATAAATAGTACATGCACCACACATTGGATGATAAGGATAGGAGAAAATTTGAAGAGTGTTCATTAAGTGAGCAACATTCGTCCTTTGCACTGTAAAAAATGGGAGACCCATGGAAACAAAAATCATATTATTAAAGATTGTATCATAGTGTATTTGTATGCTTGTATGCTGGGCAAATTAATGCTCCATGAGTTGTCTTAAATTTGGCATTCACTAACTTGCTTGCCTTTACTCTTTGCTATCCAAATGCTTTTTTTTTTTTTTTTTTTTTTTGGAAAGAAAAACTAATCTCACTGGTGAGTTGCCAGTGGGAAGAGCAGAGGACATCCAGCTAGGTGCTGTTGTGTGCAGCTAGCTATCAGTGTTTGCACAGCTACACGAGTGTGTAGACAGCTGTGTGCTATGCCTCTGTGCCTCTGTGTGTGTGTGTGTGTGACTAGCCCCTGTTTATGCAGCTGGCTGATGCTTCCCTTGGAAAAACTCTTTTTCTATTGAAAAAAAAAATAGAAGGGACATTGACATCTGGTTAACATCTGGCGTTTAGATTACAAATTTTTATATGGTGTTCTGTGGTTCAGATCTTCCTTTATAGAGACTCTGGTTCTGAGTCACCTAAACACACCAGATCTGTTTGAATGATGGGTCAAGTGTTTGTGGGAGTTATCATAAGATGCTTTTATGGCTGTGTTATTAGAAAGGCTGACATGCTGAGGATTCATGGAGACCAGTATTCAAGGTGCACTGGAATGATAAAAAATATTAGTAGACATAATTTGTTATATCTGTGTTTGGTTTGATTATTGTCTTGTGTTTGAAATCCTGTAATTAGGGCAGCGAACTGCCTCCAGAGCCAGTACTGCTTCAGGTAATACAACACTAGGACGAGTTCCTTTGACTTCAGTAGGTGATTCTTTACAAAGAATGAAGGCTGGAGCCCATGTAAATTAAACATCACCTCTGGGCAGCTGAAGATCACAGAGAGAGCAGGGAAATACTGAGGGTCATCTCTCCCTGTTGAATAACTGAATTAGAAGTATAGATCCCTGGGAATGGGCAGCGCCTTGACTTGCTCGATCCCCTCCCCCACTAGATGGCACTGAATTCTTTTTCTTTAAACGGAAAAAAAAAAAAAAAAAAGACGAAGGAAGAAAAATATGGTGGAGGTCATTTTGATGTAGAAAATACCCCCAAAAACCAAACCAAAAGACCCCCCCAAGAAGCCGACGAAGAAAAGCAAATTGCAATTGGTTGTGCATTTACTCAGTCCATTTACTCTGCCTTTCCCCCTCCTAGCCCCAGACCCCACCTGTGTACCTTTGTACAGGCGCTCGCTTTGCTTTTGTGTCTGGAGCTCTCTGGAGAGGCGCTGGTCGCTGGAGGATGCTCGGGAGGCGGAGACGACGCTGGGCGGGAATGGAGAGGAGAGCGGCCCTGGCTGTAGGACCCGCTCCGCAGGGAGCCCTGGCAGGCAGCGCGGCTCGGCACAAGGAATCGCCTCTGGACGGACTCACCGGGCTGCGCTGCTCTGTCCCGTGCCTTCAGACATGTTTTCCTGTGCTCTCTGGCTTTCTCTGTGGATCGCTGAAATCGCAGAAAAGAAAGCCTCAGCTTTCATTCCGTCGCTGAAACTGTATTTTCACCCCCTGATTCATTTAAGAGCCATGAATTAGCTCCCTGTGCTGAGATGTCCTTAATTCACTGTCGGGAGCGGTTTCCATGTCGTGTGCCGAAGTGTGTGTGGAGGCATTGTGGGTTTTTTCAATTTATTTTTTTAAAATGTCTTTCTCCCAGCTTACATTCATTGGAAGATCAACAAGGATTGATTTTTTTTCCCCCCTGTGGTGAGGCGGGGGTGGGATGGGAGAAAGAAAATTTAATAATGATCCGTTTGTGCTGAGAAGGGGCTGTCTGTAACAATCCTGGTTAGAGACATAGGGAAGGTTCCTAATGCCTGCAGTAAGCAATATTCTCCCCTCCTGAAAAAAGGGAATAGTGATGATGATGAAGGGGAAAAATGTTTAATTCTAAGAGTTAAAGAGGGGCTAAATTGCAACACTTTCTTTTACAGTTATATGTTTAAGGTGACTTGCAGAAAGATATAGATTGTATCTGATAAAGCTACAAATGCAAGCCAAAAAAAAAAAAAAAAAAAAAAAAAGGCATAGAAACTGCCAGTAAAATGCCTTTTCAGAGAAAAAGATAAAATCTGGAACTGAATGTCAATTTTTGGCTTTCAAGCCCAGGCTTAAGAATGAGAAGAGGGAACAAATCTGCCTTCTCCAGGTACAAAAGTCCTCCTGCCCCAAACTGTCTTGCTGTCTTGGAGTGTGATGGAAAAACCTGGCACCTGGACCTCTCTGGGTCTGACCAAATCTTGTCTCTGTGGACTGTAATCCTAATGTTTAACAAGAAGGAAATGTCTGTGTGATTCCATTATATGATTTTCCCATCCTCTTACATATCTTTGGCCAGCATCATGAGGAAAAACAGTCCTAGTAGCTGGGTCCTCCATTCTGCTCTTAGTCCCAGTCTTCCAGTTCTGTCTAAACTGGATGTTTAGACAAAAACCAGTTTTGTTTTCCAGTTCAATCTAAATAGAGAATAAACATAGCAGGCTCTTGTGCTTGAACAGAAAATCCAACAATCAGCCAAAAAATATGGTTGGTAAAATTAGGCCTGTTCCCTGTTCTCATCTTTCAGCTTGGGACTTGATGCTAAAAATTGACAAAGAAATCCAGGTGCATTTCCATCTCTGTGTGGGTGTGATACAAGAAACCTCGATGTTCATCATCTTCTTAGAGGAGCCAACAGATTTTTGGCCACAAAACTCTAAATTTTATCTCTGAACAGACAACAAGTATGGCTGCTCCAGGTCCACTGTAACATCTAATTCTTTTTATCTACTGACATGTAGCTACTTGAAAAATCCAGTTATAGAAGTAGATCCATCTGTGCTGAACTATTTTTAAAAAAACCTGAGATCCTTAAATATTGCCTGTTGTTATTAACAACAAAGGGAAGCTACTGCTGAAAAAATTAAACTAGTCCATTTTTCCAGTAAAACTCTTAAATTTATCTAGACCTTTCCAGATACAGTGAATATTCATAACATAACACTAAAATTTTGCAATACACCTGGTTCAGTAGATGCAGATGATTATAACCTTTATGATTTGGATGATTTTCTTTGCCAGTTTCATAATCCTGCAAGGTGGTTAGAGAATACAGTACATTTCACACCAAAAATGGTTTAATGACACAGATACTCTTCCATAGCTGCAATCCCAGTTGATATGGACCCTGATTTTGCCAGGTAAAATGGGAGATACTTTGATTTTTTCTATAATACAGTTTGGTTTGGTGCCAGAAATTGTTATGGTCCAGCCATATGGGTTATTTTTTTCCTGATGCAGCTGTATTCCACCAGACAATCCAGGTATGTATTTCTGATAAAAAAAAGAGCTACCACATCTTCTCTCCCCACTTGAGGAAGTATAATTTTTGTGGCTAGGGTTACAATCTAGCAACATCCCAGGCTCCCCTCTTGGGGCCAAGAGCTGTCACCAGCCCCAGAAAGACTGTGTTTATTTTCAATTCAGATTACACAATTTGGGATTCAGGGGCCAAAAGCTTGTAGGATCCAGCATGGATGTAGATTTTTGCAGCATACATCTGTGGGGAGGCATTGAGCTGTGGCCTTTTTGGTGCAGTAGAAGCAACTGCACTGTTTGCCTTTCATGCTGTGGAGTCAGTGAGAGCCAAATATTGGTTGGAGCTAACTTGGATCCTCTGTCAGCTGCAGGATGCTGTGGTACTCGCAGGTCAGGATGTGACAGCACCCAGCCCTTTTTGGTGCAAGGGAAATGACCGTGTGTATTTCTTTTTAAAACAGTGCATTTCTGAGTCTGGAGGCCTCAGTTTTCTGGATCACACAGAAGGTCTATAATCCAGGATTTCTTTCAAGCTCATTCTCTCTACTATGTAGCAGGTTGGGATTTTTTTTTTTTTTTTTTTTTTTTTAATTTTTTTTTTTTTTTTGGTGCAGTGAGAAACAGCTCCACTTGTTTTGGATTTGGTTGACATAATGTAAGGGCTTTTGATCAAGAATGATCAGGATCCAGTTAAATCCAGGTTTTACATTTTCCCCTCTTAAGAAAGTAAGGCTTCGACATTTCCTGCCTGGGAAGTGGTGCAGTTTATCTTTAAGGAGGATAGAGAAATAAGAAATGAGTCTCACGTTGCATGGGTGACATCACTGGCTTTTGGCTCAGCGTTCTGTATGCTCGGTCTGTAGGCTTCGGCCAAGGCTGCAGGGCTCAGTGTTTGAACAAGGAAAGATTCCCAGGTGTACAGAAGATTGGATTTGCTATTATTTGGGTTAAAAACGGTGAAATGAGATTTCTAAAGCTTGGGGTCTCCAGCTCGCCTTCTGTTGCACTTGATCTCTACAAGATGGGTGAGTTATTCCCATTAAAGAGAAAGGGAGTGAAAATTTAAGGAGAAAAAGAATTATGTCTGAATGTATAACTACTGATGCCGGGGATACGATTCGTACGAAGCTGCTGAGCTAAAAAATCTCAGCTCCGACGAGGAGATCGGGCCATATGGCAGAGAAATGGTGCAGCCCGAAAGCTGTTGACAACAGTTAGGGGCTGCTTTCCTCTCCCCGTGTAAGGTGTGTAGCTCCTCCGCCCCTCCGCCCCTCCGCCCCGGTTTGTTTTGGTTCGGTTTCCCCGACCTCCCTCCCCTCCCCGGTCCTCATCATCCTCTCCGCCAGCCGTAGCCCTGCCTGCCTTCATCTTGCAGATGGCTAACGTGCCGCCGTGTTAGGAAAACTGTGCACAACACATCCCAGCGCCGGGGACGGAGGAAGCTTTTCAGCTGCCGGCGGAAGGGGGGGCAGCAGCGTGTGTGTGTGTGTGTGCGTGGAAGAAGGATGCCGCGGCCGAGGGCAGCCCCCCGCGCTGCCTAGCGGGCGGTGCGCGGCCGGCGGCGGCTCCTGCCGGGCTGCGGCTGCTCCCGCCCGGAGCCTCTGCCCGGCCCGGAGCCGGGGGCTGCTGGGGCGCTGCCCGAGCGCGCCGGGGAAGGAAGGCAGCGCGACATTCGGCTGCCTGGGTGACAGCGCCTACGACAAAAGCGGGAGAGTGAATGGCAAGGCTGGCAGAGAGAAGCCGAGGTGTCTCCGAAGCCAAGATGCCAGCGGCTGTCAGCGCAGTCTGCTGAAGGAGAGACCCGTGCGTGCCCGCCTTCCCAGAGCCAGCCGGGGTGGGGATGTTTTAACCACGATTTCAAACAGCAGCAGCAGCAGCGGCAGCAGCAACAACAACAACAGATTGCTCCCCCCCTCTCGCTCCCTCCCTTTCGACCCCGCTTTAAACCCAAGCAAGTGACCGACCGTCCAGACGACGATGCTCTTGCTGAGCTACTGACAAAGAAAAAGCAAGTCACCCATTCCTGACATCGGGACAACTGGCTGCTTGCATGTGGGAGATGTCAGGCTGTTGAACTTTTCTGTCCTGTGATGATGCTCTAGTGAGGTTGCTGATCTGAAAGCCATCACTTCTGCATTTCTGAGTGGGCCAGATTGAAAGAGATTAATGGACTGATCAGCCGTCAGGTCTCTGCAGGGGGATTCATCTCTTCAGCCCCTGTCACTCGGGTGCTCGCAGTGAGGGGGTCACTGGTGAGAGGCTGTGTTTCTCCTCACCGCGTCTCCTCTGCAGAGAAGAGGCAGATGAGACTCCAAGACTGCCTCCAGGGCAGAACTTTGTAGTGCTCTCAGCATCCCTCTGCAGCGTGGATGTGAGCCACGGGAGTTGGGGATGTTTGAGGCAGTCTGTGCCAAGTGACACCTAGCAGCTGCTCTGGTGGTTTTTGCGTGGTCTCACCCCCAACGGCTTTGCCTGTTGTGAAGATGTCCATGGTGTTTCTGTGAAGCTGAGGCATGGCTGCTGGAAGGTTACTGCTCTATGCTGGCCTCTCTTTAGCTCTGTGTGCCCTTGGCATGCTGGCTGTGGCAATCTGCTCTGACCATTGGTACGAAACCGATGCCAGGAAGCACAGAGAGAGGTGCAAGAGCATCACCACTAAGAGAAATGATCCTGGCTTCATTTATAACTCCAACAACAACCTGCCTCTCAGGGCCAGCAGGTCTAGGTTGGACCGCTGGGAAGGGAAACTCCTCTTGGCAAGAAACAGGAGGCAGATCTTTGCTATGAGCGCAGTCGACGAGTGCAACAGACAGTACAACTCCACCAATATGGGGCTCTGGAGGAAATGCCACCGACAAGGATTCGACCAGGAGCTGGAGGAGCTGATTGCCAAAGGTAAGGGCTGTTTTGTTTTTCTACCAGATGAACGTGCCAAGCTCTCCTGAGATGAGCAGGGGCTGAGCAGAGCCATTTGGGCTCACAGATGGGAGCTGGCATCTCTAGCCAAATACCTCTCATTGCAATGGGTGAACTGGCCTTGCTGGGAATTGCTTCCAGAAGCACTGCCAGGGCAATTTCCCACAGGATCTCTACTCCTGAGACATGGGGTTTGGGAGCAAGAAGGCACTGAGGGTGAGAACACACATGCCCTAGAATATCTTTTTCATGCCTCTCTCTCTAGTCTGGATATAGTCTTTCCATCACCATGGTATCAGATTATTTCCACACACAAATAAGAAGCATTCATAAAGGAGACACTAGATTTTTAAATTTTTTTTCAGTTTGTTTGACCCTGGTGGCTTGGGCAAAGTACATAATATTTTATTGGGGGCTACACATGTCTGTGTTTCATCACTGCCTTTCTGAATGCCCCATCCATCCTGAAATACACCATTTGCAGTGCTCACATGTAGGCTTTTTCTATCCTCAAATGGAGAGTAAACAAAGAGAAATGCTAAAGAGCAGGAGGAGACCCAGCTTGCCGTTTACACTGAGCTATGCTTTGGAATATTTTCAATATCTACAAAACATTACATGAATTTATTAGAAAGGAGTAATTTTCTCTCGGGGTGGAGATGCATCTGTTTGCCTGTAGCATTTTTGTGCTATTTTTTTTTCTAGTCCTTTGGTCCTTTGTCTTAATTTTTCCCTCAGGGTAGTGATTCAAGATGATGGTCACTTTGCCCCAAATGTTTCTTTGATCTAAAGTACAGGAAGGGGCCACATGCATAAACCCCTACCTAAACAGAAGAGGCATGTTTTTGCAGGATGACGAGGGTTTCAATAAAGGATGATGGCATCTTTGCTACCCACAGCATGGTTACTCTGTACTACAAAATAACATTTCCCTCCCATGGTTCTTCTGTTGCAATCAGAAGATTCCCCATTGGTTTATTTCTATTGTAGTGAAATCGTTGCTTCTCACACAGTGCCATCTTCCAAAATACTTGTCTTCCAAGAGTGTTCTCTATCCCAAACTCTTTTGATAGCCTTCATTAATTCCCTCCTCAGACATTACAAGTGGAATTATTGCTTAAAGCTACTTTTTCAGGAGGGGTGTTCTCCCACATTTGCCCATGTGCATGTTTTGTTCCACATGTTTTATCAGTGAGCACTGGATGTGAGTAGCATGGTAGAAACTTGTACCAAACCAGTCCATGCAGGTGGTATACCTGGATCACTGCTTGGGATCCTGCCTGTGTTTCTGTGGACCCTTCATATCCAGCTGCTGGTTAACAACTCCTAGGAAATAGATTGGTGTCTTCAGCCCCATTTGTAAAGGGTAGGTGGACATGTCAAAAGCCTGTCAGCACCCAGACATCCTGCTGCTGGTTTCAGTGCCAAGGGAATGATTCCTATTCTCAATGATTCCTATTCTCCATCTAGGTGAGGATGTGTGTGCTGGGCTGGCTGTGGTGAGCTGGATTGCTCTGCCACGTGTGCTTGCTGTGCTCGGGGCATAAACAAATTCAACCTTGACAGCGGGCAAACATGTCAACAGAGCTCACCTTTGCAAATGCAGTTGTGGTTATTAGAGAGGATGTTCAGCCTGAAATAAGTGAGACTCTTTCCTCTTTGTCTACCTGCCTTGTCCGGGGAGCAGGAATGTCCATTTCTTCTGCCAGAAACAGCTGAAATTGCATGGTGCAGGGTTATGTGTAATGGCAGCTCTGCTAAATGTTACCTTAGGAAGAATGTGACAAAGCAAGATGAGGTGGTTACATGCAGGAGAAGGTGGTGTTTGGAAGACCTTGCTGTAGTCTGCTTGTGTTCATGTATGTGGGAATGAGTGTGTGTGAGTGTGTGGAGTAAACTAACTGTAAACACACAGCACCCAGCTGGTAGCCAGGGATTCCCTGGGCCCAGGTGCAGTGAGTGTCCCTGCACACACACTCCTGCATAGGTGTGTCTGCAGATGGCCAGGGAGCCCCTTGGCAAAGTCACTGCCCCAGGTCAGGTGTGCGACTTGTGCACGTAAAGGAGCTGTGTGCAAATATCTGTGTGTGTCTCTCCTTGTCTGCTCTAAATGTTTTCTGATACACTTCTAAGAAACTTCATTGTAGGATGAGAGAAATGTTCAAGGAGGGAGACTTCTAACATCAAACAGCAGCATTTTAGTTCATTTGATGGCCTTTCTGGAGTGAGGATCTGTCTATGCTATAGCTCTCAGCCATGAGGAAGAGTAACCCATAAATACTATAGAGGTATAGCACACACACACACATGCACACACACACAAATATATATATATATGCTTTGGCACCTCTAGACTGAAACACAGAAGAAACAAGTATAATGGCAATTCAATAAAATAAAGTGTTTGACTTGCTCAGAAATAAAAATGGAGATGTTTCCTTTTTGACCCCTAGTTATATGATGAAAGTGAAGTAAATGTTACTGCTGTCCAATGTTGAGAAGAGCTGTGAGCTCAAAACTCAAAACAAGGCAGGTATTCCAGGTACATCCCAACAGGATATATAATGAAGGTAAAAACTAAAAGTAGCTCTCACTTCTATGACAGATCCTTTTTTGGGAGTTAGGAGTTGCAGGGATGGGTGGGTGGACAGTGTATGTCGTGTGCAGGTGTGAGGGGCTGCAGATATTCCCTGTGTGTAGTGTTCAAATAACCTGACTGGGGCACATATCCTTGCACACATGAAATCACTCTCTATGAGATCCAGGGCAAATACCTTATAAAAGAGGATGTGCATACAGCTTTAACTCTTATTCCCTTGTTAATGTAATGTAATGTAATTTAATGTATTGTTAATGTAATTTAATGTAATACACCTCTTACAGAAGTGGATAAACTAATGCAGGTTCTGGCCTCAAATATGGTGTGTGATGTTATATATATAATTGAATGTAAATTTTATTAAATGTTTTGTTTTTTTGTTTGTTTGCTTTCAAAGCTGGACAGGATATGTGATCCATTTAGTTTAAAACAGATCCTACATTTTTCCCTAGGCAAAACTTCCAGTATTGAGAATGGTCTATTGAGATTTGTCTATCAAAGTATAACAAAAAATGGTCATTAAGAGCCTAACTAGCTTTGCAAATACCCTGCAGTTATTCTGCTTATGAACTCTGCTGAAATTAATACAAGCTATAGGCAATGGCTTGTGGCAGGATCAGGAGCTGTGGTACTTGGCAATATTCTGATACCAGTGATTTTAAAAAGCAGTTCTGTTCCTGAATAGGTTGGGTCACTTCTATAATTCTATTTTGTATTTATTAATTTTTACTTTCTGGGAAATAAGACATTTATGTTGGATTTTGCTAGAAAAACTGGAGATGTGTTGCTTCAGGTTTCTTATATATAGGTATAATTGATAGCAATACATATACAAAATAGCTGATCCTATTTTTATTTCTCCTATACTTTTTTTTGTATTTTCATAGAACCCATGTGCATATTTCAAAATAATACAATTAGGTAAATAGGCAGTGAATTAAAAGAGATTGTTACAAGTAAGAATACTCAGGGAGAGGCAGACTAGCATGAGACTAAAGACTTGAGGAGTATTCTAAAGCTGCAACAAAATTAGGCAGTTCATTTCTTCTCTTTGACATCATGAAAAAAAATCCAATCAGAAACAACAGAAATTACAATCAGTAAAGAAATTATTGGAGTTGAACACACAAACTGAGGTCTCAGTCTTGCTAACTTTTCCTCTGCTGAATAATCTGTATTTCTGGGAATGGAGTGCTTGGACTGAGGGAAAGCGGTCTGATACAGAGGGACCAGTGAAAAAGAAAGAGCTAACAGAGCTGTTCCTCTGGTTCTGCTTTCACATCTGATTGAGCCTTTTAGCATCTCGGGACTAGAGTTTCACTCCTGATCCCTAAAGCCTTGCAGAGTCAGGAAATGCTGGCTCTGGGGCTGTTCAGCACAATTTTCTAAAACCCTTCCAATTTTCAGGTGTTTGTCCAGTCTCCTTCACAAACCGAATAGCCTTGCTGCTGGAGGCCCCTTTGAGCATAGAGCTCACCCTGTCCTATCAGGTCCACTGTTTGCCTGTTTGCCTGTTTACCAGGGAGTTTCTAGCAAAAGCAGCAATCCCTCACCCAAGCAACAACTCTGAGTGAGCCAACCAACTCCAGGACTAAGCAAGCAGAGAGCTGGAATGTAGGTGAGTGTCTGGGAGAAGGCAGAGTTGTGTCTTGCCTTAGCAACCAGCATCTAACAGCTCCTTGTATACCACTTGTAGTGAGCCAGAAAAAAAATGGGGAGCCACAGAGTCTGCCTGCATCCTATGGCAATGCTGCTCAGATGCTTTCCTGCAGTAGTTGAGAGGAAAACAAGAAAGGAAAAAAGGGAATTACATCATTTAATTATAAAGGTACAATAAAGTAGATGAAGAAGTTGCACAATAACCAGAGTCTGTTCCATTTAGACAATTACTACTCAGAGGACCTTTCATCTCGCCTTTGGAAGGCTGCCAGTTAAACCTGACTGTATGGGGTTCTGCTGCCTGCCATTGGTATCCAATTTTTATTTAAAAACCTCCAGAATTTACAATGACCTTATTATTTCAACCCTCCTTTTACCTTATTTCTTTTTTTCTTTGGAAGTCATAGTAAATCCTATTTTTAAATTTTACTGTGAGTATACTTAGCCCATGCCACCACTGGAAAAAAAACCCCAATCCCTAAGTAATGCATGTGCAGCCTACCTCCACCTGAAATAATACGCAAGATTTCTGGGATGAAAGCATTCTCTGGTTTGGTTTGTCAGATGCAGGGCATAACTGAGGAAGAAAGTCTTAACAGGACTATTCCAGCCGTCACTAGGGATTATTTGTACACAAATGGAAAGAGGCTACTGAGAGAGGCTACTTGCAGCTATATCTAGCTGCAAAGAGCAAATAGATTTATTTTTGTAAAAATACTTT